ACATTAGCCTATACTTTCAATAAGCTCTAGGTAAAATCAAAATTGGTACTGACAATGCTTAATATCTATAATTCCAATTTAAAATGGACTAACTCTAACCTTGAATAGGTAATATGAGATGATAAGACATGAAAATGCTATTGAATTGTCACAAATCGCAAAATTAAGTCAACAGGTAACTTAATAATGGATAAAACAAAAAAGATTTCAGATAAAAAACACCAAAGTGATGCACTTCGTAGATATGCTATTGAAGATTCCCATACATTACCCAATTGATGCTGCTCGTGCTGTTAGGTGTGGGTTTTCCCTCGGCCATAACCTATACTCCACGTTGTGCTAAAAGTTCACCAAAAAACAGAAACTTAGTGGAGTATTATAAATACACTCCTAAAAAAAGAAGTGTTTATTATTAAAAGAAGTATACTGTATATTAAAATTCACCATCGAAAGAGAGAATACACTGATATCTAGTAGAGAATTGTAAGGTGTCTCAAATAGTCAACTCCCCAATGTTAAAATCGTACTAACTTATATAAGTGTGGAACGAAATCCATTTCTCCAACTTGGCCCATCCAACTCCACCGCCGCCACCGTCATCGCCGCCGCTGGAGAGGGAGGAAAGCTGTCTAAAGTCGATGAGTTATCGAGGCAAGATAGAGACCCGCTGACCGAAGCCTGATCGCACCACCGCTATGGCAACTCAATTTCATCTCTAACATAGAATAAGAAAACATGGCTGAAAAGCAAGTGAAGGAGAGGGAAGGGCGTTTGGGGATTTGGAATGGAGTAGTGAAAGGGTGGAAACTGGAAACGGAAAAGGCAAGAAACTGAAAAAAAAAATTGATCTGGCAATTACAACCTACACACATGGATCCTACGTGTAGTACACTTGGCAGCCCCACAATTGATGAACTCAAATATATATATATACTAGTGTTTTGACCCGTGCCTTGCACGGGGCCGAACGAATTTTTTGTCGATTCTTATTTTTTCATGTAATATTTTTTGCGGATTAAAGAAAATAAATTTATTACATTATTTTTAATACTACATACATCAAGGTCAAAGTAGAATAAATAATATCTTAATTTTTAAGAATTGAAAGTATACGAAACAAAGACTTGTTAAAATTCAAATTTTATGAAACACTTCAGAGTATACAATATTTTTGGTATGGTTGAAAGGGTTTCTATTGTCATCTAAACTAAATATTTTTAATCATATACTCCCTCCGTCCCCCATAAATCTTCCCAATAGTCCTTTTTCTTTGTCCACAATAGATCTTCTCATTTCATTTTTTAACAATTAAAATACCACAACTACCCCCACTTACTTTATTTATTACACCCCACTCACCTCATTTAATACACTCCATCCATTTTCATTAAGGATATTATGGTAAACTTTCACCTTTTTTCAACTCTCCTTAAAAACCACCAAAAGTCAAAATAAGAACATCTTAGAGGGACGGAGGGAGTATTTGTCTTCACTTGTGAAGTAACAACATAAAATTGGCCATAAGTGAATACTGGCTTAGTTAAGATAATCTAACAAAAAATAATGTTTCACCTTAACTTTAGTTAATAGTCATAGCAAAACATTAAACTATTGGGAATTGTCTTTTTTGAAACTTGAGGGGGTAGTCTTGGATCATATGGTACCAAATTTATTCGAGGTATGTAAACCTTTTTCCCGTCTCAATTTCT